GGGTTCAAGCGTGGGCGAACGGGTTCCGGCGTGAACGTCAACACCTGATTGTGGGTCGCGGGATGGCAGGGGTGACGCAGCTTGTGGACGCACACTCGCTTGGGGTATTCTGCAAAGTGCCATTGCCGTTTCACGAAAACTTTGGATTCATGAAGACAAGGCCGAGTGGACTGAACGCTTAGACTAACCCTACCCACGGGTGGGAGATGCAGCGTACGATAGGACGAGACAATCGACCTCGCGCATCGCCGACGGGCAACGCTACCAACTTGGGACTTACAGTACCAGGTCGTCGCTGAAGGGTGTACCGAGGTGACAGGCTCGAGCGAGAAACACCCTATGGCCAACGACGTTTTGCCGTGGTAGGCCACCCAGATGTGCTGCCCGCAGTCAAGCAAGGGCAACAAGCGAGATGAGAAAAACTAAGGAAGTCACCTCAAAACCCCGAGAACAGACTGTCCTCTTTTCTCTTCTTATGTTCCCATGGCACGGTCTGAGCGGCATCATGACAACAAAAGTGGCTTCACAGTGTACGACCACTCGATGTTCGACTCAGGTATTGATAATGTCACCTGGGTGATCGAGCAGTTGGTTCGGCTCGAACTGATGTGTCACGAGGAAGGAGGTTCATCGCCAAATCGTAGAAGCAATCGAAGGTCAACACGACATGGTGATACCACAAACGAAAGCAACGACAAAGAATGCATCCGCAAGTTTCTGCCGGCATCTGCCGGAGTAGTTTGGAATATGGAGGCGGGGGTCGATTCTTTGCAACGACAGTCAAGCGAACTGGTAGACCTCACTGACACATGTAGCACCCCCAGGGGTTATTCGTGGCCAATCGAAGTCCCACCACCCTTGGGTCGTTGGTCTACTTCCGACACTATTCGTCTGAACAGCCCGTAGTTGACCTCGCCACGTACCTCAGCATCGCTGTTCAGCTCGCAAGAAACACCTCAATAAATTACCCGCATTCGAAGAGAACAATAACTAATCAAACATTCTTATACCATGTAGACTCAAAAGGCGAGGTGGGAATGACGGGCATCTTCATTGCCTTGGCGCTTGGGGTCAGTATCCTCCCCTTGCAGGCTTGTGTTGTTGTGGTCTTGACCTTAATATCGGTTCTGATCGCTCCTCCTCTGTACCTTGTACTGTGTAGCTGTGTACCGTCTCTTAGCCTACGATCTGGACTGGCCCACCCTCGGTCCACCTGTCGCGCATCCATGCCTTCCTTGATAACCCCAGGCTTCAAGTAACGCAAGACCGGAACGCCGATTAGACCACAGTAGTAATGGTGACACCACAGTAGTAATGGTGACACCCGAATAAATAGTGATGAAATGCCCGATATTGTGGCATCAAAATCTCTTGTCACAATCTCAACCCGATATTGAGGCATGGTCCTCAATAGTGGCATTTTGGGCATCTTAGTCGGTAAAATTAGACCATCCGATCGGATGGTCTAATTTTACCGATTACATCTTATACCCCCAATAGTGGCATTTCAAAACGTCGGAGCGCCCCGTCATTTCAACGTGCGCACCACAAGACATACCCGTACATAGGATGGGCGCCACACGTGAATGCATATGCATATGTAGACGCCTTGGTGTACAATCATTGTGACGGTTGGGATTGATACGCCGGGGTGGGGGAGTGTTCGACGTTTACACTTGCTCCAGTTGGTTTCGCACGTACGCACTGCCGTTTTCAGCATGCATGTGTGTCATGCCCGCCAGACAAACGGCCGCCTACCAGAAGTTCTGTGACGTTTTTCTGCAGTCTGCCGACACACACAAGAAAGGTAGTATTGGTTGCGACCACAGAAAGAAGAAGGCGCCGTTGTCACGTGGACGATCAAGTGTCATTTCACATGTGATAGGCAGACACCTGCGTCGTTTTCATGAGGATGCAGCTGCACACAACAAAAGAGACATCCTAGATATTACGTACTGGTGGCCAGAGGGACAGGTTGGGCACGAACTACAACCTGGGGGGGGGAGGTTGGGAGGCCGAGTTCGACCTTGAACCCATTTTTTCTTCAGGCTTGCAGCCCGCCCGTGTTGATTGCAATAACGCCACTATCCAAGATGCGGGATACCTTGCACGCTTTGGGCTGCAACCTCCCTACAACCTCCCCCCCCCAGGTTGTAGTTGGTGCCCCAACCTACGCACAACGTGCCTCTGGCCACCCGTGTAGTCGTAGGCGGCGAGCGAGCTTCAGCTGCAACCTTTCTGAGCCTTCCTTCAAACTTCGTAGAGTATGCATTGCAAGTTTGAGCAAGTGACTTTGAAGTGACACATCATTTCTTGGCGTTGTGGTCTGCGACCCACCAATCGTTCCCCGCGTCCACGCCATTTTCAGGCATCGGCGTCTCTTTGAACAGATACCATTGATACTACTGCTGTACAGTAGTTCACGCCCGTCCTCACTGGCAGCGCATACACTCCATTGTCGACCACGAACGCAGCAACTGCTGCCGTGGGAGCTGGTCCCAGGCGAGATGGTGAAGTAGTAAGTCTTTTGCCGTTTTTCAGTTCGGTCCGAGAAATTAGAGGATCGGAGATGAGAGTTGAGATGACGGATGTAAGGAGACGAGAAGGAAGACGGCCGCGTTGGTTACGATCCAACCGAACGTGTTCAACATTGATTTCAAGTCGATACGGTTCGCTATCCGCGTCGACCGAGAGCAAGCAAACCGGAGTTCCAGAGGATGCAGATCACAGAGTGGCTGATGCGGCTGATGCAGCTGCAGCAGGATCCAGTAGAACCGCGCTTACCTTAGTGCGTCTCGGCATGTGAGGTGCCCCCGAAACAGCTCCAAGGAGCGCCACCAAGACAAGGACGACGCCCTTACCACTCTCCGGCGCAACGAGAAGGGCAGCATCGCTATTGCAAAGCTGGTCCAAGTTGCTGCAGCCCACCAGTTTTAGACGTCGCAACAGCGGCAGCATCCAACACCTATGAGGGAAGGCCCCGTGCGAAGACAGGGTGGTGCGTGTCCAGAGCTTGCCATCTGCTAAACGAAAAGTGCATGAGAAACGCGCAGCAGGCAGGAGATGATCGAGAGGAACGGGACTGACGTGCCACGCCTGAAAGAAAATTCTGTGGACTGGGATTCATCCGAAAATATGAAAATATCCGAGCAGGACGGCACATCATTTTTTCATCGAAGTACGAACAATTCCGGTGAAATGATTCTGCGTGTCGTTCCGGTATGTGCATCTCCAGCTTACCTCCTGGTTGCCTCCTGGTTTGGTGTACTGCCACTTAAAAACGAGGTATTTTGTTGAGCCTCGACGCTTACTTGTTACCTCAAACCGAGCACATACATGTTCATATTTCTAAGTTTATTTACAGTAGAGCAGGCGTCCACCTGGGAAAAGGGGTTGTCCCATGAAGAGGACGCACGGTCATTCTGGGCGGATTTCAACGTGACACTACTCATGTTAATAAAATAAGAGGAATAGTAACGTGTTTAGGACAACGTGCAGAATTCTGGCTCTGAACCGAGGATCATTTAATTAATCGGATGGTGAGACCCCACAGTGGTTCCGACCATTCTACACTCACTCTCTCTCATTTGACCACTCTGGCGAGAGGTGAACTCACCGAACCTTCCTTCATCCCGGTCACGTTGCCGACTCCGATGAGTCCATCACTTGTGGGCAAATTCTTGTTTGAACACGGGAGACGAGGGCATCTCACTATTTAATGCTGCTGTAGCGGAGGTACACCTCTGCCCGCCAACGTGAGAGCTCGATACTCGCTAGTTTTCGGAGCGAAAGAAGGGAGTGACCTCTTTGTGCTTACAAAATCTCGATTCATCCGATAAAGATCCGTGGATCAATAATAGTTTGTTCCGCAATTTTTTGGATCCATCCGGTCTGAACGGAATTATTTTTTACAAGGGTTTCAATTGTAACATCAGGAACCCCCATCCACGCGTACAAGTAGTATTTCACAAGTTGCACCCCCCCCGCTCCCCCCCGCCCGGTGTTTGCCATTGGGGTTGGGTTTTCGTCGCTTGGCACGACGTTGTAAAACAAGTTGCCGCCCCCGGTGTTTGCCATCGGGTTTTCGTCGCTTGGCAGCGATGTTGTAAAACAAGCCGATCACTTCGTGAGCTCGGCAACCAGGTTACCGCGTTTTTTTGCTTTGTCTTGTTTTTGGCGGTAACCATGAATGGTGGGTGAGTAGATTATGTTGTTCAGGGTCGAGAACCCTCATTCCGCGCAAAGGGGATAATCGCACGTTGTGTTAAAATGGCCAAGCACCCTCGAGGCCTTTTCACAGCGCTTACAACTGTCTCTGGAAGTGAAAGCACCAGAAAACAAATTAAGTCATACGCATCTGTCATCCGTACAGCAGTTTTTGCAGTCTGTTAGTGACTCTTCCTATCTAACGGCTTTTACGCCCTCTGATTGGTCCGGCGTTGGTTCCTAGCCTTGACCCTCTCCAGCGCCCTCTCGCCGTTCCGCATTCCGAGAACGCGGCGCAGCCGCGTTCTCGACCAGTTCGCGGCCACTAGGCCGTGCTTTGGCCGTGGGTGAGGGTTAGGGTTAGGGTTAGGGTTAGGGTAGATGTGGGGTGAGGAACCTAGCCTTGCTCGCGTGAGGAACCTAGCCTTGCAAAGTGCAACATCGGTTAGTCCTAAAGAGTCACTAACAGAGTGTAAATAGACCTCCTCCATCCGTAAGCAAGCAAGTAAGCACAAGATGCCGAACACCCTTATCAGGATGCAGCGCACCCTTTATGCGACTCGCCGAATACCTCACGGCGCTTCGCGCTTGGTGATGTGAGAGCCTGGTCCGGTGAGTACCCGGCGTGCTCCGTCCCGGCTTTGTAGGGATGCGAGGTCAATGGTCTAACGACTACTACGGCGTGGCACGACCCCCCCCCGCCGCCCCGCTCCCCGCACCTTCTTCCTGAATTGTTTATTTTGCAGTCGCCGGGGCTCCGCTCTTATCTGTGTGTGCATTGGTACGCCACAAAGGCGGCTTCTTGTTCTTAACACCACGCCGGAACTGAGCACATGTTCTTATGGCCAAGTTCTCGGACTTTGAATTTTGTGAGCCTCAAGTTCTTAACTGCTGAGTTCTTCAGTGGTGGCGCGTTCTGCATACAGCGGATTGGAAAAAATAATATCAGTCGCGCATTGACATTCGGAGTTGTGTTGTCTCAACCGAGCATAAACAAAATTTCCAAATTTGAACTTGTCCCGGCCTCTTTTTCTATCAGCTATAGGAAAACGGCACTCGTCCTCTCTCGACGTGTCAGAACCATCCTTCCGATCAAAGGAAACCTACGCCGCCGCATCAACCAAACCTATCCGAACATTTTGTGGGAGCCCTGAAAATGAACCGAAACTACACGCCCATCCCGAGGGCCAACCCGATGGCCAACACACTCGTGGCTCCGGCCACGAGAGCTGACGTCGACAACCTGCGGCCAAGTATACCGCCATCATCACTCTCGGGTTCAATTGGTGGAGACGTTCCGGCGGGTGATTCGGGGGTAGCGATCGGGCCGGGCGCGGGGGCGGGCGTGCCGGTGCATCCGCAAGTGAAGGACACCTCCTCGGCGGTGACGTCCGAGTACACGCCGGTACCGTCGAGATCACCTGAATCGACAGACGAAACCACACAAACCACGCCGACAGACATTTTGGCTCCCTATGCATGCATATGATCGGGCAGGTGGCCGAGTAACCAAGCCCAACAGGTAAGCTGTGCATGACTTTCTGCTGAGTCTCAAAATTCAGGAACTCGACATCTCCGCAGATAATTATTTGAACCCCGACGTGATGAGTAGTCCGCCGGCTGTGTGTATCGCAGTTGAAAAACGAAAACTGCGGGCTAGTTCTTCAGCTGGAGAATCCCGAATACGAGAAGATTCCGGGCCGTGTGGTCCTACCCCTGCCGTGGCATGACTCGATCGTGATTCAACAAGCGCGGCGGTAGCGGATGGGCGTCGGGAAGGTAATTTGGTTCTCGGGTACGGTTTGCACGTCCGATAAAGAAGGACGAGACCAGGAGTAGCATAACTCCTTTTGCAACATGATGTTTGATTGACGGGTTTCAACCAGGGGTTTGATTACGTTTGGGAAATGGGTGCAAGGGCCGAAAGAGGGGTAGCAGCCAACCGGCGGAAACTCGGAAAGAGCTGCCCGTGAACGAAATGCACAGCGACCCGACCAAGAAAAAGCTTGAACCATAAGACGGAAGTGCAGTCTATCATCCTGCACCGAAAATGAACCGAAAAGGTTATTTAGTGCAGGAGCTGTACACAGAATAAACGAAGATGCCGTCCTCGCACCCCTACCAAGCCGGGAATTCTCTTCCGTCATGTTTGTTTTTTCGCCGAACAGGCCGATCACACCAGACCTTGGCCGGTGTAAAAACATATATTAGCGACACCCAACCAAGAGAGCTTCAGAAGGCCGCCATTCACATCATGTAGGACATAAATATCTACGTCAAGAACTCCTTGGCAATGTCTCCGCGTGTCTCTACCTTGTCGAGGACCTCCCTGACATGTTCACACCATTCTCAACCTGTCACGCCCATGCTAGGTGTGTGGGCTGCGACGAAGGACATACCATCCTCACTATGTCACGACGGTAACTACGACAGCACCCGAGAGAACCTAGCACAGACGCTACAACAAAGTACCACCGGTTTGCTAGAGACCGGCGACCAGATGAAACCCATTCTTGCGGTTGTATGGACAGGCTTCAGGGGCACCAACAACAAACGCTGATAATCTCTTCCAACTCCTTCGAAGTTGAATGCAAAGATTGCGTATGCAAATCCCGGCGGCATTTTCGACGGTGAACCCTGTGAAACAAATTGCCATGGCGGAAATTTGACAACCGCCGCCTTTAAGAATGCATTCATTCGCATAGACTATTGCATATTTTCCAACAATATGTCGAACTTAACTCAATTTTCAGCCGCCCTGTGTCAGTCCGCATTTTGCAACTTGTCGAGAACTAGGTCAAGTCCTACCCTAGGAGGTTTGACCTCTTCGGGAATAGAGTGGCCACCCTGGGTTTCCGGGATACTTTGAGGGTTTACGATTGATCGGTACTTCACTCATCTGCCGTTGAAGAGTAGAGGAGAGTGGGGCGTAGGTAGGGGTCGTCGCTATGAATAGTCATTGAAGGTTGAAGTTTTATGTATGTCGTCTCCACGAAAACATGTAGGCAGAAAAACGTAGTCGCAGCGTCTCAAGGTTATCTTGTCGTCAAGCTTCCAACCCTTTCAGCATCTTCGGTGCCTTGGTTCATCCTTCGTTCAGCTCGGTCAGGTACAAGTGGGAATCGGTGACATTGAGAGAGTCAAGCCCCCCCCAGCAAGCCCCTATCCACAAACTCTTACATCGCCACGTTGCGTCGGCCGGGTGAACCAAGATCCCTTGCTCGTTCGAATAGCAATATAACACAGTGGCATCGTCGTCCTCGGAGAGGAAGATCAAATACCACGGAGTGGAGTCACCCTGCAAAACATTTCAATACCGGGACAATCCGGAGGATATAGAGCGGGGGAAGGAAATTCTATGACCGGCAAACTCTCAAAGAGCACGCAACAAGGATCGCCATCAGTAGACAAGGATAAATCCAAGCTCCAACGTGGTATGGTACAGGTGCCAGTCAGTGTGGAGATGTTGCCATCACACCATGCGGGAGTGGGCCCGCAATGCGTTTTAGGCGTACGACACGGCTGAATGGCGGCAAAAGACTACTACACAGGGCGAACGCTGTATTCTGGTCCACAGAACTTTGGCTACAGCCAGTGAATTAAAACAAAGGAGATCCAGCTTAGATATGACAAGGGTCTCGGGCGGCATCAGGGAATCACGATGCTCCTTCCACCCGTTTCTCTACATCACCCACCGAAAACGTTACGAGCCGCTGATCCATTCGGGCGCGCGTGAAGCGGAGCATATACATCCCACTCTACCGTACACGCCACAAGACAGCCTATCCGCCACCCGCATAGAGCATCACGGTCAAATATGAGCCCAAAACATTGATCTACACCCACATCAAGGTCACGGGGCGGCCTACGTTATCACCACGCTCGCAACAACACTGTGTAATCGCCTCGAAGGTCGTTGACTAATTGAAACCAACGTGGTGCCATCAATCCCTTCGCGCGGGGTAAGGGTTCTCGATGCCGCACAACATAATCTACTGGACCACCGTCATGGTTACCGCACAAACAAGCACAGGAAAAACAATAACGGTAACCTGGATGTCGAGCTCACACGTCGATCGGCGCGCTTTGCGACGTCGTTGCCAAGCGACGAAAACCCACGATGTTGGGGAGGGGGAGTTGGACAAAGCGGGTCCCAGACATCAAAATTTCATATGTTCGCTTCCACGGTCTCTGGGTAGCACCTCACCTCTTCTTCAGTGTCCTCGTCTAGGATGGAGCCCACCAAAATACTCTCGAATTCCGCCTCGCCGGTCAAGCTCCAATATTCCTCGGTTGATTCCGGCGTCGAGAACAAAGTAGAAGTCGCCTGGAAGCATCCCTGGATATCAGGGAGCTCCGACGAAATGATCTGGAACGACTCGGTGTCCCCACATGTCGGCGAAGACGGAGCAATCTCAGGAGGTGAAGATGGGGCATGGACAACATCCGGGAAGTCGATCGGCTCGAGCGTAGGGGAGGGGGTCCCGCCCGAGATCGCCGACGTTGGTGTCGAGGTCGGTCCTTGCGTGGGAGGGAGGCCTTGGCTTTCGGCAGCCGGGTCCGGCGTTGGAGCCACGGAAGGAACCGGCTCTGACGTCGGTGTGACGGCCTCGGATACCGGAGCAGGCGCCACCTAGCCAGCGTTATTCCATGTGTTCGGGCAAAACGAAAACAAAGATGCTATGGATTAGGAGCGGGTTTCTTTTCTGATATCTTTTCATCTGCTGAAATCGCTCGGGCAGTCGAACAGCTATTTCATGCGTTCGTATTCTCGGCAGGACGGAAACAAGTGAGCTCCGAGTTCGTCTGAGCTGTACCTGGAGTTGGAGGTGTCCGACTTCACACCGACAACGCTGGTAGCACGTGCAGTAGCGAACAGAGGAATATGGTTCGACAGTCGAAAGTGGTCCAAAATTCTGATCTTGCTGGAGACTGTACGACTACCGCCAGACTTGTGGTGGGGAGTAAGGATACCCTGTGAGCAGGGACCCACTTGTGTGCGCGTTACGAACCTAAGGCTGCACCCCCTCATGAAGCTGACACGTCAAGTCCAATGACTGCTACGATCGGGAGGCTTTGTAGCACAAGAACATCTAACTTGGGGAAAGTTGCGAGATGGAATGGCTAGCACCCTCTCGATCGCACGCCAAAGGGATGATGGCAACCCTTCGGACGTCAGGTACGCCGTTGCCCAGTTCTTCGTGAGACGTTTGGCTTGGCCAACACCTGTGATGAGGTGGGGCTCACACCAATGGGATTCCAGTCATTCTTGTTGGACGTGTCCGTTCGAAGCAGCCGGCCGCACGACCAAAACATGAGATGGGCACCAGGCCGTATCTTCTAAATATCTCGTCATATGCACTATCGTATACCACACAAGATAGCACACCCCCTGGACCAATTATCAAAGCTCGATTGCGCCACGACGAAGAACATGCATAAACGAAACCATACATTTTCGGAAGGCTCTCGACAAGGCGGCTTCCACAACGCCAGTTTCGGCGCTGTGACTCGCTCTGCGGTCGAGATTTCGAGCTTTGAAAATCGGTCCAGGGTGTGTGTTTTCTTGTGTCGTATACGGTACTGCCCCCCCAGCATACCCGCCGGCCCATCCTTCCCAGATATCAGTATTATTGTGAAAAGGAAGCGCGCTTGTTGCACACATTAAGCGTTTTCAACATACCGGGGGCTCAGTCAAAGATACCGGTGCAGGCGTCGTGGCACCAACCGGTTCAGGAGCAGCAGGCACGGGTTCAAGCGTGGTAGGTACGGGTCCCGGCGTGGTCAATACGGTTGGGTCCGGCGTGATAGATACGGGTTCCGGTGTGGCAGGTACGGGTTCAGGCGTAGGGTTCACCTGTCCCGGCGTGGTCGATACTGTTGGTTCCGGCGTGGTAGAAACGGGTTCAGGCGTCGTTGACACGGGGTCCGGCGTAGGGGCTACCGGTTCCGGCGTGGTCAATACGGTTGGTTCCGGTGTGGTAGATACGGGTTCCGGCGTCGTTGACACGGGGTCCGGCGTAGGGGCTACCGGTTCCGGCGTGGTCAATATGGTTGGTTCCGGTGTGGTAGATACGGGTTCCGGCGTCGTTGATACGGGGTCCGGCGTAGGGGATGCCGGTTCCGGCGTAGCAAGTACAGGTTCGGGCGTGGGCTCTGGGAGAGGGTCGGTGGGCTCAGGGGTGGGGTCTGGGAGAGGGGGTTCGGTAGGTTCAGGGGTGGGCTCTGGGAGAGGAGGCTCGGTAGCCTCAGGGGTGGGGCCGCTGGAGCATCCGCACGTGAAGCTGGCGCCATCGGCCCCGAAGGTCTGGGTCGACGAAGACGCGAAGGTGCCTATAGCGCGAGAGACAAGTGAAAAAATTAATGACGATCCCCGGATGTGAGTTTGGGCATGGGTGAGGAGCACGACCGCCGTGCCGATTGGTTTCACCTAAGACAATGCTATGCACCGAGGGCACCAAGCCCGCACATGTGTATGGGCAAGATCACGTACGCGTGTGGGGATCGGAGTTCTGCAAACACCACACGGCGCGAGGTGTCGTCGGTGTGTATCGTGCACCACGAGACAGGGAAGTTCAGGCTTACGGGTCGTAGATAGAGAGCGGACGAAAATCATCAAAACACATGGATTCGCAACACCGAGTATTCGAGAAAGTGTTAAGTCCCCTTGAACGCAACAGCGACACCAACAACAACTACAACGGGGATATAGCGGAATTCTACCTCCGTTTTACCGCTGAAACTCACAAACCCAGTTTGCGTCGGCCGGGTGAACTGTGTCAGCCGGCTCGAAGGAACCGCAGTAATACGCTAGCTCCCCATCAAACGCTGACGACGAAGTGATTTCCGGGACGTACGCCAGGTACCAGTAGATCTGCGACGAAATCGACGGGAGCACGATTGATATCGGAATGCGCGTGTTGTGGCCGATCGGATCATGTACATCCGCTGATCAGGACGTCGCTTGAATATCTTTGACGAAATGCCACTCTGGCTCTCCGCGACCGTGCTTTATCCGACGGGCGTCCCCGGGGCTCTCTCGGGCCCACGTGCTGTGCAAAACACCATGATCCGCGAACGTTTGACGTCTTCGGGAGAATACGAGAAGGTAGCACTACTAAAGTCACGTAGAGAGGGGGTGGTATCTTGCGTCATATTTTCTTTCTACAGCACTCTCCACCTCCTCGGGTCTTCAACACAGAAAAAACGCGCGAACACTTCGGTTGCTTCTCGACACTTCGGTTGCTTCTCGACAGGCAGGGTACAGAGGACATTAACCAAAGAATCCCGTCATGCCTACGGAAGGAAAGGTGCCACGGCGTATAAAATACGATTCACTGGACAAGGTCGTGCGCGCTGGGGCCTATCGACTGATGCCAGGGGCGTGCATGGCACGAACGACCATCTCACCACAGCGTCGTCGTCGTCTGAACTCGGCAGGCTGTGAATCCACATCTCCGCACCGCCTACTCCACCCGTCTGAGTGTAGACGTGCTCATCGGACAGCGTGTACCCCGTGGATAGGTAGCAACCATCCGCCTCCGGCAGGGCGGAAATGTCGACAGTGAACGACTCTCCCTCGGAGCAAGAGCTCCCGCTGGGAGCAGTGGGTGTCGTACTGTCCACATCCGGGGCAGGGGTGGTGGTAACAGTGGGGGTCGGTGCGGTGTCGTCGTCGTCGCATCCGCAGTCTACGCCGAAGGTGGTGTCGGTGGCCGCCACAATCCCATCTTCGGTTGTATCATCAACACCTGGTTGTGGGGCGCGGGATGGCAGGGGTGACGCAGCTTGTGGACGCACACTCCCTCGGATATTCTGCAAAGTGCCATTGCCGTTTCACAAAAACTTTGGATTCATGAAGACAACGACGAGTGGACTGAACGCTTAGACTAACCCTACCCACGGGTGGGACATGCAGCGTACGATAGTACGAGACAATCGACCTCGCACATCGCCGATGGGCAACGCTACCAACTTGGGACTTACAGTACCAGGTCGCTGTTGAAGGGTGTGCCGAGGTGACAGGCTCGAGCGAGAAACACGCTATGGTCAACGACGTTTCGCCGTGGTAGGCCGCCCAGATGTACTGCGCGCAGTCAAGCAAGGGCAACAAGCGAGATGAGAAAAACTAAGGAAGTCACCTCAAAACCCCGAGAACAGACTGCCCTCTTTTCATCATGTTCCCATGGCACGGTCTGAGCGGCATCCTGACAACCAAAAGGGCTTGAAAGTGTACGACTACTCGATATTCGACTCGGGTATTGATAATGCCACTTAGGTGATGGAACAGTTGGTTCGGCTTGGACTGTTGTGGCACGAGGAAGGAGGTTGATCGCCAAATCGTAGAAGCAATTGAAGGTCAACACGACATCGTGATACCACAAACGAAAGCAACGACAAAGAATGCATCCGCAAGTTAATGCCGCGTGGAGAGGCATCTATCAGAGTATTTTGGAATATGAAGGTGGAGGGTCGAATCTTTGCAACGACAGTTAAGCTACCTTATAGACCCCACCGACACATGTAGCACCCCCAGGTGTCATACGTGGCCAATCGCACTCCCACTACCCTTGAGTCGTCAGTTTACTTAGGACACTACACGTCGGACCGGCCTCTAGTTGGCCTCGCCGCGTACCTCAGCATCAACGTCGTCGCTGTTCAGCACGGCCGCAATCATTCCCGTCTCTCCAACAAACTCCGCCTCTCCTCCCTCTATCAAGTCCGTCTCGACCAGGCAGCCTTCCAGCAGGGGGAACATCGAGCTCGTCACCGTAACCCCCGAACCTTCGGCGCAAGTCTGTAGTCGACGATGCCGATCGTGGTTGTCGGTGTTCTTGGTGTGGCTGATCAGACCGGCTCGAAACTTTCGAAGCTGTGCATTTGTATCCTGCGATGAGTGAGCACGGCTTTTCTTGCGATCTTCGACGTTTGAAGCGAGGCCATGGAGTTTGGCCACTGAACGCGGCGACCGGGGCCGCGTGAACGCAGCCGTTGTCATCGTGGCGATGTTGCTGGGGTGAAGAGGGTTGTCGGCTGCTACGGGATCGTTTATCTCTCTCTCACTTGTCTGCGCGGCGCGGAAACGACGCAACTGAGCATGGGCATTCTCGACGATGTTGTCACCAGACACCTGTGACGCGAATCGGGAGAACGGGAGAACGGGAGAAACCAAACATCGGTTGCATCGCGACCGTGGCAGTAGCGGCGGCGGCGGCGGCGGCGGCGGTGGGGGCGCAAGCAAGTAAGCCAATGATATGAGTGAGTCCTGGCGTGTGAGCCTCGATCCACGCAAGGAAATTGCCCCCCAATGTCCTTGTTGATCGTTGAATTGAAAATACCTAGGCGCGCCCTTGGGCGAGGTCTTCCAAATTCCCTGGGTGTCCGCTCCGTTGTCGGATGGAAGCACGGCATACCGGATGCACTTCATCCAAAGGATACTAAGCTGATCCGTCGGGACTCTTACATGAGGTTTTAGCGGGATGAAGCTACTACTGCTGTGCTATGTACTGCTGTAGATGATAGTCTATCTATGTAGACGATAGACTATGTCCAACTGAAAAATACATTCAGCTTGATTGATGTTGTATGACATGCATTTGTACGGAGCGGTGCGTTTTTTACACGTAGTTTTTTTTTTTGGGGGGGGGGTTATTAAGAGGACAAGTGGAAAATAAATGTTTCAATAAAATACCCCCATTTGAAGAGAACAACATACAGTCTATGCTGTAAGATTTTACATTGTAGATCAAAAGGCTAGGCGCGGATGCCAGGTGCATCTTCATTGGGTCGGGTTCTCCCCCTTGCCCCCTTGTCGGCTTGTGTTGTTGTCTTGACCTCAATAATCGGTTCCGATCTCTTCTCTGTACCTATCCTGCGGCTGTGTAGAATACTCTAGGCTTGATCCGTACTGGTCCACGTGCCGCGCATGCCTTCCGTGATAACCCTATTTAGGCTATACAAGAAACGCAATGGCCGGAACGCCGATGAAAAATTAGGAGATCAGAGAGAAACACACGCGTTTGGCCCTCCTACACCCAGTCCCTCCGCACAAAAAAATGCCGCAATATATGTTCGTCAGCCATTGGTCGAGGGGCTACAACCCCCCAAAACACGTGGGGACACTTTTCATACTGAAGCCAAGTCAGCAATTTTTTCCAATACCAGGCGATGAACAGTGGTACGACCTAGGGGGCACGCGGGTTGAGAGATGTGCAAGTCAGAGGCCCAGGAGAGGCATCGCACAGCATATCACACAGCGTACCACCTCGGCCAAGCATGATAGATAGTATTAGATAAAATTAGACCATCTGACCAGTCAACTAATAAAAGATATGCTCAGAGCTCGTTAGCACCCGGCCGGAACACGTGGGCTTATGGCTTAATCACTGGGATTGAGAGTAGGGATCTCCGGGGGCGGACCCCTCGCCAGACGTTGCTGTTTTGCAATGGTAATTTTACGCAAAGGAAAGTGTTCCGGCCGGTATTCTTTTGTTAGAAAAGCTTACCCATTAGACTACAGAACCGGCCCGCACTTAAGAACCTCTTATTTGGAGCGAGGCTCGCTTCTTGTTGGCTGCCCCAAGCCGAGCTCAAGTTCTTATTTGCCAGGTTCTTATTTCGTCGTCAAGTTGTCTCCAGAAACGGTGTTCTTGTTCTTATTTCATCATCGATTGCTCAATTGGTGCATTACTCAACTGCACTCGAGGCAGAGTTTCATACCCGCAAACTCCCCCCCATGGGGCAACTGTCAACCGTCTTGGTCCACAAGAGTGACGTTGGGGGTGCGTACCCTTCCCGCCCTACTGACGCTCTCAAGCAAAACCCATGAGCCTACCGCCGCGTCCGGATCTCCGCTGTACTTGTCTAAGGGCAGCTTCATCTTGCGCGTACTGTGGTCTACTTCCAGCTGCACACAGTAGTCGTACAGGTGGCGCTGCGGAGATTGCTGAATGATCAACCCACCGAACCACCCCATGCCCAGCCGAACAAGCACTCCACGTTGCAAAAGCAATCTGTCAAGAGCAGCGGGGGTAAATTCTTGAAGGCGAAAGCCCGCCGGGATCTCCATTCCCTGCGTCTCGTCCTCCGGGTCGTCTGGGTCCATGCTGTCGTCCTCGTCCAAAAGAGCTAGCTCGTCGGTCTGGGATTGAGACATGTCTGGGACGAAGGGTACCGTGAAACACGAGAAGGAACGTACGGGTGTCATCGCCGTTACTCAACTGAAGTGAACACACCATTTGTTCGTAGACGTGACGCGGAAACAGAATATCAGCAATATCCCAAACAGCACAAGGAAAGATGAACAAAAAGGACAATGAATTAACTGTAGTCTTGTAGTGCCAATCAAACTTACTGTCGTCAAGATGAACAAAAAGGACAATGAATTAACTGTATTCTATGTAGTGCCAATCAAACTTACTGTCGTCGTCTTCATCGCTGTATCCAGCGCCCTCCATGCCCTCCCCGCTGTTGGCACCGTTGCGCTCATCCCCGACGACCGGCTCGCGCCTTCCGGCGCCCTCCTCCTCCTTCCCCTCGGGCCCATCGCTGCCGTCCTCCGAACCTCCTTCGTTCTCGCTGGAGTCTTCATCGTTTGCGAAGGTGTACGGCTGGTCCAAACCCTCCAAGGTGACTCGATCATCGCCTGAGCCGTCCACGGTCATCGCCATCCCGCACTTTTCGAAAAGGCGGTGTCGGTACCCCTGATTGCTGTTGAGTTTTTCCATGGCCGCTCCCGCCCATTGAGTGATCAGTACGCGCCGGTCAGAAGCTGTCAGCGACGCGGTTTCCCACCTCTCGATGTTGTCCGACTGATCGAGCCACTTGTCCATCTCGTTGCCAACTTCACAGCTCCACGAGTCTCCTTGACTTTGCGGTCCGTAAAGCCGTCGCTTTCCAAGTCGAGATCGCGGAAGCGCTTCCGTTGGAGGACAAACGAAGCCGCCCCCCTCGCACCATCGACCTTCACGTGCCAACAACGTCCAGGCCCGGCTTCTTCCCACGGCTGAACATGCCCTTTGGGAGTCTTCCCCAGCATCCGCTGCAGCCGCAAGCCGTTGGACATGTTTGCATTGCTGTGCTGTGTTTTCACGTGGATCCCAAGTCCTTGCTCGTTCACGAAGGTCATGGGACAGTGAGTGCACGGTAGGCGCCGCTCTGGGGCCGGAGGTGGGAAGTTGATGCCCGACACATGCTCTGTGACACCACCGCGAGTCCGCTCAATCTGCACGGCGCGGTAGGAGAAGGGCGGAATTGAAGTGCAGGTGATTCAACGAGCTGTGGACCTGAAATTGCGTGGATGTCGATGGCAAAATATATAAATCTATGCAGATGGGGCGGGGGGTGATTACATGACCGTCTCTCGTGTGTTTGTATCACGGTGCTGCAAAAAAAAGGTTTCAAAATACGGTTGGGACGGCGCTCGTGTACGCGTTCTTTTTCGCCACTGTGTCTACTGTGCCGTCCTTGCCTTCCTCAAAAACGTGAGGCAAACGGAGAATATTTGAAAAAGTTGTACACATACATATACGCCATGCTGAAAGTCAGTCGTTTACACCAACCTGTGACAGAGTAGTTTTTCTCTCGATTTTTCATTTCATCACCACCGCGTTTTTTTTAAAACAACAGCAGCAGCAGGAGCACTCTTGCTGTATCTACACTACATACATACAGCGGCTGGACCGCCGTACGACTGCTGTATATATGTACATCATCACAGCAACAGAGTTGTCAGACGACTGAACTCACCGGTTTTCCGCTGCCACGAGCGAACGCGTTGATGATGTTCCCACCTAGAACACCTTGGGCAGCTCGATTCCTGGCTTGCTTCCCCCGATCTGCGACCTTTCTCTTCCCGGCAGCCGCAGCAGTAGCAGGCGGTGGGTGCGAAGACGGTGCACCTCGCGCGCCGCCCGCATCTTGTGGCGTTAAAAACGACGGACGGGTGCTGGTGGAAATACCCTGGGCCTCTCCATCAATCTGCGTGATCCACTCTTCTTCGTTGAATACACCCGTCTGCTTCAGCCCCCATGCGTTCTCGATTGCGTCCCATCGCTCCTTCGCAACGGAGTTGCCCGCCTTCACATGTGCCTTTATCGTCTCGAAGTGACGGTCAAGAATCAGTCCTCGTTGTTTCAACTCCGAGAGTTTGCCAAGGTCCTTCAACAACCCATGGGGATAGGGGGTTGGACAGGGACATGATCCCCCCTGCACGGCAGGCAACTCGTGGCACGCTGCACCGCGTTGCGTGGTAAAAAAAAAAACTCGCTGGCACGGGACACGACGTGTATGAACAGCAGACCCCCACCTAAAAAAAAAATCTAAAAGTCTAGGTAGGTACCAACTACCTAGCAAAAAACCTGGGAACGCCCCCCCCCCCCTCCTCCTCCATCTGTGTATGTTCTTCTCTCGCCACCGCCGCGTCATGTCGTATGTTCTTATCTGTTGCACCAGTCGTACACCTCACTGGAGGTTCTTATTCTTAACAGCAGGTCCGATCTGAGCACGTGTTCTTACGGGCAAATTCTTAAAAATTGGATTTTTTGAGGCTCAAATTCTTAACGCGGGCCGGTTCTGTACTCAGTCAACGTTGACTGGTCAGATGGTCTAATTTTATCTAATAGATAGACCAAGGGTTCTCCCGTGCGTTGCACATAGCGGAGTCTAGGGTGACGTAAGTGCGGAAAATAGGCAATTTGAGTGCTGTGTCCCCAAAGTGTCCCCATTTGGGCTTCCAGTATAGACTAAAATAATGGAGGCCTTTGCACAAGCCACAAAAAATTCCAACAACCTTTCTGCACATATTTATATTTTATTTCCCACGTCAAACTTCGCAGCAAGTGACACATGTTCGACCATGCATGCTGCAACTGCTGTGGGAGCTAGCCCCAGACGAGGCGATGGCGTGCTTGCGGTTTCACATATGTATATATGTACCCTTTTCAGTTCGGTCAGAGAAACGATTGCATCGGAAGGGAGAAAATTTAACGAGATGAGAGATGTGAGAGGCGCGTTGGTTGACTCTCAAACCAAAGCACAACGCATTCAACGTTGGTTTCAAGTCGATGCAGGGTTCGCTATCCACATCGCGAGTGCACGCGAACCTGAGTTCCAGAGGATGCAGATCACAGAGTGGCTGATGCGGCTGATGCAGCTGAAGCAGGATCTAGCAGAACCGCGCTTACCTTAGTGCGGCTCGGCGTGTGAGGTGCCCCAAACCCAACTCCAAGGAGCGCCACCAAGACGAGGACGACGCCCTTGCCACGACGACGCGACGAGCAGGACAGCATTGCTTTGCAAGCTGGGTCCAAGTTGATTAGGGAACCAGTTTTAGACGCCGCAACAGCGGCAGCACCCAATACCTATGAGGGAAGGTTCTGTGCGGAGACAGGGCGGTGAGTGTCCAGAGCTTGGCCGTCTGCTAAACGAAAACGCGCGTGAGAAGTGCAGCAGGAGTAGCTTAAACGGGATAGACAGATATGACACGAAGGAAAATTCTGTGGGCTGGGATTCATCCGAGATAATCCGAGCACAGCGGCACATTTTCATTCAAAGGACGAACAATTGTTTCCCCGGTGTTGCGGTGTTCATGATTTCGTACCTTGTGACCTTCACACATCTCCGTCCTTACTTATTACATCATGGTTTGATGCCATCACGCAGCGGATCGCGGGAAGGTACGGTGGGACGACCCTGGCCATCTCGGTTATTTGGACCACCGCTTCAGCAGTTGTCTACGAAGAAAAGGCAGCATACGAGAGCAGAGCAAGAGCGAGCTGCGAGCTTGCTTAGCTTGTGGTTCTGGTGTATGTGGACCAAAAAAATACATACTGACGTATATGTAGACTAGAGTCTATGTACGTAGCACCACATTTTTTTGCCACCACCAAGCAAAACACACAGTGACACACCAAGCAACACAAAGTGACAGTAGCAGATCATTCAGGTGCTTTTTGCGCGAGGCTCGACGCGTACGTACTACTTGGTTGCCTCAAACCGAGCCCAATTATGTCCATACGTTCCAAGTTCTTGTCTAGAGCAGGCAGTACACGTAGGATTAACGGGATTATTGTTCATATCTGTACGGCGATTGCCCCATCCATGCAGAGGACACAGAAAGGCCTTTCTGCTTGGATTTCAACGTGACACCAAGAGTACAATAGCGTAACCTTGGGCAACGCCCGATAGAAGCCGAAATGTGGAAAAGAGGGAATCGTCCTCGACAGACGTTGGGGAGATTGTGCCTTTATGAAGGTAGTCTCCACATTACCCCCCCCCTTTTTCGAGACTTCTTCTTGTTTGCTAGGCAAGAGAAGTCTTCTTGGGGTAACCAGAACCCGACCGGCTGGCGGCGGGGCGATTCATTTTTTCTTCACAATGCTCTGTGCGTGATTTCACGGGTTCGCTACGTCCGCCACGTCATCAGAAGTTCCGAGTTCGATAGCCAGTGCGTCCTTCTTTGGCCTACCCACCGTTTTTTCTTTTTCCGTTGTCCGGAAGAAAAATTTGGTGAGCAGCGGGTACCCGTGTCTTTTGCAACCAAAAGCAGACACTCTGACATCTCACGTCGACGTCATTGTGGAAAAGCTTTGCCTGCCGTTTGGGCGTCAGCGGCTTTTGCTTTTTCAGCTGTTGCTGCTGTTGTTGCGACCCTCCGTCCTTTTTCTTTCCTCCTTTGGAACCACGTGGGTTGCAAAGATAGAACGCTTCGTCGAACGCCAATATGGAAAAGAGGGAATCGTCCTCGACAGACGTTGGTTGGGGAGATTGTACCTTTATCAAGGTGGTCTCCACAGAAATAAAATTACAAAAAAAAACAACCATTATAGACTGTAGTCAGCGCTGACTACGTTTGTTACAGCGCTGACTACTGTAGTAGTAGTAGTCTAACAATATGGTTTGATTTCGGCTTTATATAGAAGTTAGTCGTGGTGTTCGTGAGCCCGGGCATTTTCACTTTCGAGGAGGGCGACTCCCCTTGCCAGCGCTACTATCCGCCAAAAATCTTTATTTCCATTCATGTCACGCGCCGACTCCCATCCTGCAGAATTGTTATGGTATGTGCAGGTAGACATGTGATCGTGGTTGACCATGGTTATTTGGCGCCGTCGGATGCTAGGATGTGACGTCATGCTATAGATTGTATTTGGGCTTGATGCCGAAGCATGATGTTATTAGATATATTGGGGGTACTCGTAGCATAGTATGACGGGTTATCTTTGGTACACATACCTACGGAAATTGCAGTGATGGGGTACGAAGGGTCCAGAACTTTCTGGACATTTTCCTTGGAAGTGAGAAGAGTTTGATGGAGATTCGGATAGGTCTGTTTGGTACTTTAACCGTGATGAGCGTGACGCGTGCTTGATGCCGTGACAGATTTACGAGCGCAAGCACGCCCCCGAAGAATACAATACTTTTGATATACGTTTTCAACACGTTTTCTACCCATCCACGCTCCGCCATGAGCCACCCGCTTTGAGCTCCAACCACAAAGAACCGAGCCACCCGAATTATCGATCACGCTAGCGGTATGACACGTCGTCTAATCTACGAGATTCGCGGTAGAGCTTGGTTTAGGAGCATCGCTTTGCGGCGATCAAGAGCAGGGTCACGATGGCCACCAGGCGCGAAGATGAATCCCGCCCAGCAGCGGAAGCCCGCCAAGCAGCGGAGGACGCCAGGATCGAAGAACTGGTCAACGAGAGAGTAGCAGCTCGGATGGAGCAGCTGATGGAGGAGAAACTGGCCAAGAAGATGGCCGAGATGGAGGTACGGCATCGAGCCGAGCGGCAGAGATCAGAAGATCTCCGGCGAGGAAATGAGGAACAAGAGGCACCACACCAGTAAGAACCTGGGGGCCCAACACCCAACCCTTCCGCAGACGATCTGGCCAACGCGATTGCGACTGCCATGGCCGGTCGCCTCCAGACTTCATCAGGGGATATCGGTGCAGTGCCTCACCCTGCAACTCTCTGTATGACTGAAAGTAGACGAATTGAGCTTTGAGAATTTTCTGCCCGCCAAGCAGCGGAAGCCCGCCAAGTAGCGGAGGATATTGGTTTTTGTTTGTTTTGAGAATTTTCTGCCTGCCAAGCAGCGGAAGCCCGCCAAGTAGCGGAGGATATTGGTTTTTGTTTGTTTTGAGAATTTTCTGCCCGCCAAGCAGCGGAAGCCCGCCAAGTAGCGGAGGATATTGGTTTTTGTTTGTTTTGAGAATTTTCTGCCCGCCCAGCAGCGGAAGCCCGCCAAGCAGCGGAGGACACCAGGCGCGAAGATATTGGTTTTTGTTTGTTTTGTGAATATTTTGTTTTGTTTTGGAGATGATGGTACAGAAGAGGATTGGTATTTGCCGAAGCATGACGATGCATACGAGCAGGGGGGCTATTAGATATATTGGGGGTACTCGTAGCATAGTATGACGGGTTATCTTTGGTACACATACCTACGGAAATTGCAGTGATGGGGTACGAAGGGTCCAGAACTTTCTGGACATTTTCCTTGGAAGTGAGAAGAGTTTGATGGAGATTCCGATAGGTCTGTTTGGTACTTTAACCGTGATGAGCGTGACGCGTGCTTGATGCCGTGACAGATTTACGAGCGCAAGCACGCCCCCGAAGAATACAATACTTTTGATATACGTTTTCAACACGTTTTCTACCCATCCACGCTCCGCCATGAGCCACCCGCTTTGAGCTCCAACCACAAAGAACCGAGCCACCCGAATTATCGATCGGATGTGCCCTTCACCTTCTGTTCAGTGTGCAGACGATCCGTGATCGTGTGTGCTTGGGATCTTGTGAGTTGGCTTGGAAAGCGCTAATCATCAAGAGAAGGAGAACAACGGAAAGCAGCAACAACCTGCACCTACCTGTGGCCGGACAAGAGAGTTCCACACAGCACACAAAGGTGATTGATTCTGAAGGAAGGGGTCAAATCTCATTACACTGGCGTCGTTGGCAGGGTTCTAGTACGACCTCAGACGAGTCCTTCCGTCATCTACACTCTGACCAGGAGTATCCACGATCTCAGGAAAAAAAACACTTCAAAGTGTCCATCCTGGGTCTCTAACCCACGACTAACATTTGTAGAAGCCGAAATCAAACCGTTCGTGCAGATCAATCAGCCCGTCTACGGTTTGATATCGAGTTCTATAACCCCGTCCCCCCTCAGTTCCTTCAGCGCCGGCGAGCCGACAATATAACTGAAAGGAACCACAACCCCCACCGGACACTCGGATTGGGAAGGCCGACTATTCCGCAAACCTCCCTGAAAACACACGAAAAACGAGTGGCCACGGTCCAGTTGACGTAGAGATCATGAGGATGGTGAAGAAGCCGAGAGGGTGGATGCAGAAGCTGTGGAAGGGAGAAAGGTTGGAGCTACTGCTGTTTGGGATCCCAAGGGACATGACGAGGATAGAGTTC